GAGTATATACTGCTAACACAGTGCAGACAATACATTTACAATTATACTAACCTGAATGGATTAAATGATCTGTATGTAGCCCTGTACTATGGATCATTTAACCCATTCATGTTAGCAGAGGATCATTGTAAATGTATTGTTGCAGGCACTCTATATGTACATGTACTATATACTACATATAGAATGCACTGAACAATAGATTTACAATTATCCTCTGCTAATATGAATGGGTTAAATGATCCGTAGTACACGATATGTAGCCCTGCACCCCCTTTTCCACTTACAGAGCTAGGTTATTTTTCTTTTAAATAAATATTAATGTAATTTTATTGGTATCTATCTACCAGTAGCTGCCTCATTTCCCACCCTCGGCTTATATTCGGGTCAATACTTTTTCCCAGTTTTTTTGGTAAAATTAGGTACCTCGGCTTATATTCGGGACGGCTTATACTCGAGTATATACGGTATATTCGGGGCCGGATTTACTCTCCCTGCCGCCCCAAGGCCAGGTTCCGCAATGGCCTTGTGGGGAATCCGTGCCTGAGTATATTATTAGCAAGTAGGAGTGTGCTCAGGTTTGGATTGAACCCTGTCCAAACCTGCGCTCCTCAGAGCAAAGAAAGTGCCATGGGTATCTACACCCAATCAGCTGTGGTACAGGTATTCCCCCAACCCACAGCTGCATGTAAATAAAGGGGCGGGATGCTTGTTTTGATGTTATTGCCTTATACGGCCATATAGCCATAGTGGGAAAGTGTAATTTACCAGATATAGGTTTGTCACCAAGGTCAATTACTTCAATTCACTCCACCCCTCACATCAAGCTGCAGGCATGGAATTCCCACCAGTAGCTAATTGGGTGGCAGAAGAAGCTTCCTTCTGTGCTAGCGCACAGAAACACAATTTTTAATACCCAATTTTCTGATAAAAGTATTAAAGATGAGTTTGTGTCGAGTTAATAAATACCAAATATGTCAAGCTTCAAAATTGTGCGCGCCCCTGAAACAATGAAAAACTTCAGTACCCAAAACTATCCACATTTGACGCTTTAAAAACTTTTACAGATCATCTAATTCTACCAATGCATCCCTCTATGTATGATGATTAATAATAACATAAACATGTCAGGTGTAAAATGCTGTGATTGTGAAATACTTCCACTTGCGGAGCATCCACTTCCTGCTTTGAAAGAACTAAAATGACTTCAGTTTGGCAAAGCAATGCACACTGGGATTGCCTTGTCATCAACAGAGCATTGCTGGGAAATCTCATCTGTAATCTCACAAGATCTCAGGGAAAGGCATTTTCCTCCTTTGAGATGATGTGCATGGTCACATGTCCCAGTCATATGTGCCAGTAATCCAGGAAGTAAACGGAGAGCTAGTAATCTGCCCTTAGTAAACATGGCCACTGTCAGAGGACTGGGGAAGAAAAGAGAAATAAGGTATGCAAAGAATACAAAGCCGGCAATTATCTAGAAGTATGTGTGTGTAGATCGTCATCCCTAAACATTTGTAAAGGTGTGTTTTGTTATCATTTTGAAGATATGGGTAAAGGTCGGCTTTAAAGCCCCGTTCACATTGAGCGATTTATTGCGCGGTAATTCCCGCGATATTGCGGCAAATTACCGCGTGATATCGCGCTCCAATGCATTTCAATGGAGCAAAGGGTCCTGCTGTCGCGGGTCGTGTTTCGATACAGCCGGACCCTTTTTGGAGCGGATTTAGCCGCGATTCAAGCTTGAACGCGATATCGCGCGGCAAATCTCGCGATATCGCGCAATATGCAAATCGCGTGACAAACGCGCGATTTGCATATCGCGCAGTGTGAACGGGGCCTTACTGTATATCTGCCTGGAGACCGTTTACAGGGTACATCTGTGGCAACAAAATGGTAGAGCAGACTCCCATGGTTGTTTGTTCATCTCCTGTGTGTGTAGAATAGACCAGGGGACTCATTTTGGTCACACAGGAACAATAAGAGAAGTTGTCTGACCTCCGTTTTGTATGTCTGTACATCTGGTGGACTAGATTGGGGAAATGCGTTCACATTTTTTACATTGACAAATGAGTGGAAAACCAAACCATCCACGAACAGTCTGGTGGAGCAATAACAGTTTAGAAAAGGATTACTCTACATAGCTCCTGGCACTCTGTCCTTGAATACCATACACATTATCTATCCTAATATAAACCATTTTGAAAAGGAAAGTTTGTTTTAAAGTGACTTTGGCTTTATTTAAATGGATGGCCTTTTCCTGTCTGACGTGAGATCGGTTCCCTGTTAACAGCCAAAAAACGAAACACAACCGGGTAAGTGTCTGGCACTTTAGTGTAGGAGGAAATGTGTGGCGTAACTGCTGATCATAAAAACAGGCAAATGGTCATGTCTGCAGAAGATAATGGAGTTGAAAAAAATGAGTGTAAAAATAATAAACTACAGCTTACTAGACCTTAAATATGGTGGCTGCATTAGTTTTCTTTTTGTAGGCTCTTTTTCCTTTTATTTTCATCTGGTGATCTGGCCAGTAACACTTCCTGCCCTACAGTGACGGCACTCACTGTACTGTTTCTATGTAGTTTCAAAATGTGGTGCTTCTGTACCAAATATATACACCAATGTATATCCCAGACAGGTGCCGCCATATTCTACAGGGGTATGCAAACCTCTGTGCCACCGTGACCTCCACTGTAAAGCTGTAAAAACACTCGCCAGATCCACTGACCTCACAAGAAGTAAGAGGTTGCTTTATAATACACCCTCTGGCTGGATCATCTTTCACACCCAACACCCACTTCAGATAAGGTTTCCTTGAAGGCCCAGTCACACCATCACCAGTGCGTTCGGCCTCTGAAACGCAACTCGGCTGGCTCACTTTGTTTGGGGAGGGGGCGTGGCAGTGCATTGAACTCAATGGCACCGCAGCCACGGCCTCCGCCCGGGGTGCGATCTGCAAAAAAAATGCTGCATGCACTATTTTTTTTTTTTTGCAGATCGGACTGGAACGCTGGCACTAATGTGCCACACGTTCAACGCGAGCGGCGGGCGTGGCTGCATTACCATTGAGTTCAGTGCACCGCCCCAAAATGAAGTGAGCCGGCTGGGTTGCGTTCCAGATGCCGAACGCACTAGAACGCATTCTTGATGGTGTGACTGGGCCCTTAGTGGAATCGCCACGCTTCTTCTGATTACCAGACCGGACAGCCAATAGATCTGATGGCCTGGCCCTTATAGAGGTCGGATGATCAGAAGGGATGCACAATTCTCCGTCGCGGCGCACTGCTGTGTGTTGAAATGCCTTTTTATGCATTGCGCTGAGTAAAAATGTAGACATGCTTGCTGCATTTGTATGCAACACACACCAGCGCACATGTATGGTTTGAAGAAGGCACATAGAAAGCATTTTGTGTTACGCCTGCGTTGATCAGCGCCAATCAATGCAGCTCTTCATGCCTGATGTACATGAACCCTAACTTATCGTTGGCATGATTACTTGATGTTTACAGAACTGGAATGAGCCTTAATAGCAGTGACGTCTCAGCTGGCTAAGTCTGAGATTTCAGTCAGACAGAGGGAGCTGCAAAGCCAGCTGCTCTGTTGTGCGTCCTCTTTGGCTAACCAATAGTACTTTGGGAATCATTTGTCATATACATATTAAATGTTTACTTGTAAAACAAAGATTGTCTATAGTTTGTGAAAAAAACCTAAAAGAAACATCACCCCAAAACAGAATAATTTCCCTTTTGATTGTAACATAATGCCATACCTTGGAAGCCCTAGTTTACAAATATTCTGGATGATGGATTGAAAACTGTGATATTGTCACTGCAACACACATTAACAGTTGCTTCACTTGTTTATTTGCAGGCAGGAGCCGATAGGAAACCAGTTTCGACTTTGTCTTCAGGTGTTGCGTGCAGTCCAGAAGCTGGCCAAGGATTCTACTAACATAGCTCGTGAGACCTGGGAGGTCCTGCTACTCTTCCTGCTGCAGATAAATGACACTCTGTTGGCTGCACCTACGGTCACAGGTTAGTGATAGTTGAGACATCTTTTTGGTTTTCAGAGCGTAGAACAGTAATGATTGGGGATGCACCGATACTACATAAATAGCCAGTAAGAACATAACACCCATTGCCGTTGATAATACCGTGGTAAATGTATTGTTTTTCCTCTCTTTCTTCAGGAGGCATAGCCGAAAACCTGGCTGACAAATTAATCGGGGTTCTGTTTGAAGTCTGGTTCCTGGCATGTACTCGCTGCTTCCCAACACCACCCTACTGGAAGACCGCCAAAGAAATGGTAGCTAATTGGAGACACCACCCTGCCGTGGTCGAGCAATGGAGTAAAGCAATTTGTGCATTAACATCTAGGTGAGAGTCTCTACCAGCAGTGCTTTCTGCCTGAGAGAGAATATTAACCTCTTGCCGTCCGCCCGTAGTAAAAAAACGGACGGACGGCACTAATGAGGAAAATATGATTGTGTCATGTAAAACTACTAAAGTGGAACTCCAACCTCCAGCCAAAAGGTTTTTTTTCTTATGGGTTAGTTTCTTGTTTGTTTTTTGCTATATTGTAGGAAGAATGGTGTCACACTATTTTTACAGTACATAAAAGGTTAATTGGTCCTGAACTTTCTTCAAAGCGTCAACGTGTTTGATGGTTCTATGGGGCCATTTCATCAGGGCTATAATGTCCTAAAATATCAAACGTGTAAAATCATAATAACGGTATAAAAACTATTTACACTTTCTTTTGTTAGGAGTCGATATTGTTTTTATACTATTACCATGATTTATACTATAAGCTTGGGTGTTTTTTAATATAGTGCCCAAGGACCCAATCATGACCCTTGTGCCTTACCCAAACATGGCCCATGTACCGAAGAGCAGTGATGCTGTCCAAAGCTGAGGTTCCATCACTCCAGCTATTAGGATTTTGCCCGTTTTGGTTAGATTTTCCCCTTCTTTTACAAAGGCAGAACTTTTAGCTAAATATCCTATTCCCTTCTGTGTGCATGGCAATCCTTTTGAGCTGGTGGCAGAATATCTGGAGTAGTCAATCCAGAAAAGGGGAGAAGTGTAAAATTCTGATTACAACAGGGCCCTGGTTGTCGCAAAGACAGACCGCAATGGGAGATCTCCCATGCAGGGACATAGCAGTACAAACCTGACAGAAGATCTAACCCTCTGCTCAATCTAAAGTATTGGCTGGGGATTTTATGGTTAAAGTGTGCCCAATCCACAAAGATTGGTGCACTTGCTTACCTCTATCAGGTATACTTGCCATTTATGAGAGACCAGAACAGCCTAATTGTAAGCGGTCAGCATTCAAGCGGCTTTGATGGACTTTATGATCTGCTACCACAGATTTCTTCTCCCTGTTTATAGGGCAGGACAGGTTCACCCCCATAATGGTACAAAACACAAAAAGAGCCCCCAGCACACCTGCCAGCTAGCCTGCAACAAACAAATTACCCTGTCAACAGCATGCGGTAAAAACAGGTTTTAGTTGCACAAACCTTTGGCCAAAAATATGTAGAAGCCACACTGCCCCGTCAAGGCTCCTCTGTGAAATGTGGTCCTTACTCTATTTATGGGTCTCCACCCTATAATGGGCTTCTCTTTTTGAATTATGCAGGCTGCTGCGGTTCACCTACGGGCCCTCATTTCCTCCTTTTAAAGTTCCTGAAGAAGATGCCAATTTGATTCCTTCTGAGATGGATAATGAATGTGTAACACAAACCTGGTTTCGGTTTCTTCACATGCTCAGGTAAGTGCTGAACGTTAGTAAATCCTTTTACAGACATTCAAAAAGAATATGGGGTACCCAAATCCTTCTTACTCCACTATCTACAAATTAGACATGCCACCGCAACACAGCTGGCTCTACAAAATGTCATATTACAAACCGCAGGCTAGATACGCTTCTAAATGTAGACCATAGGAAATTCATCTTTGCCTATTACTCCATTCCTTTAACATACGTAAAGGCTAATGACTATTAAATCACTGGCAAAAATGGCTTACCTTCTCTTTATAAAAAGAGATGTGGAAAGATATTTTGGGCCCATACATTACTACATGTATATCCCCTAAGCTAAATTAATCCAGTTTAAATACTGGTACCATGTATTTTATACTTCACATAGATTTATAAGTTGGGTAAACTAGAAAATCTTAATTTCTTCAAATGCTATGTGCTCCTGGGTCACTTCCCCAATTTGCTTTGGGATTGCCTCAAGGTCAGACCCTTTTTGTCTGAAATTACACATTTCATAGCTGTACATCTTGGCTACATCTGTGTATGGAGCCGTATAGTTGCGCTGCATAAAGATGCGCAAATAAAAAAATGGACCCGAGATGCGTTCGGGCTCTGTATTTCTGCGTTTTTTACGTGTGCAGCCAGATTTGCTTCGGAATATCAGCAGACTGGGTGGAGCATGCAGGTCTTATCCCTTTTCTTTACAGGGTGGCTTTTTAAAAATAAAGTTGCTTTTAAAGTGAATTTCATTTGGCCTGATAAGTGCCCAGGGTAACTGTGCTGAATTACTGGCCAAGTCAGCTTAAAGTATTGAATGCAGAGGGCTACCATAATAGCTGGGCAGCTAGCATTTGTAGAATAAGAGCGCAATGATAGCCTTCATGTGCCTCTTGGAGAAGTTTTCTTGAAGGAAATGATTGTTGTGGCACTGGAATGGATTTCTAAGACTTTTAGTTGAACAGCTGAGCACTGTGTGTCAGAGCTAATCCTGAGCTGTATGTATGAGGTCTTTCTAGGAACTTTTATGATGGGATATACTGTTTTAGAGCAGTGGTTCTCAACCTGTGTAACCTCGGGACCCACATTTGTCCTTTAGAGATTAAGTGACGACTCAGGTCGCACTGCAATAAAACGCACAGCATTGTGGTACCGTGCATTCCAGTGCGGGCGTTCCGTGCGATCCTCAGCTTGGGGTCTAGTGCTGGGCTGCTGTGCTGTGACTGAGCTCCATCCATACATGCGTTGCTTGTACAACTCCCTTGTGTGCCCTGTAGAGGTGCTGGGAGCCAGAATGCGGCGTCACTCCGGTTCAGGCACCTCTACAGGTCACGTGAGGGAGTGTAAGCAATGCATGTATGTATGGATGGAGCTCCCTCGTGGCCATAGCTCCAGCCCACCCCACCTCAAGCTGACACTTGGTGCCAGGCAGCATATTATGAATGACTGCTCAGCACAAGGACTGATATTGCTACGCTAGGGGGAGGCTGAGGAGCCTCTCACATAGAAAAGGGGAAGGCACACTGCGACCCACTGAAAACGAGGTCGCAACTCACTTTTGGGTCACGACCCATCAGTTGAGAACCAAGGTTTTAGTGGATATCTCTAGATGTGACTTATTCCTTCCTAATCTGCAATTTTTGTTTCTCTTACAGTAACCCTGTGGATTTGAGTAACCCAAGCATCATAGGCACAACTCCCAAGTTTCAGGAGCAGTTCCTGAATGTGAGTGGAATGCCTCAGGAGCTGAACCAGTACTATTGTCTGAAACAGCCGCCCCAAATCTTCTTCCGGGCCATGAGGGGAGTCAGCTGCCTTGTGGATGCTTTTCTAGGTAATGCTGGCATATTTAAGAAACCAGACACGAGTCTTGCACATGTATAAATTGATCCTTCTCTCTCTCAGCAAGAATAAAAGTCAATACACAACTTCCCAATGTATGAAGCTGTAGTGCTTCTTTTTGTACCCACCATAACCCAGTAGGGAAGGGAGGACGGGATTAGTAATACTGATTGTGCCAGTATATCGGCGCAGCATTTTGTTGTGCACACGAGAGCAGGTCTACCACAGCAGCAAGGGGAAATGTGGACTCCTTAGGAGTTTGTATTCCAAGTATGATTGCATGCTGTGTTCACAGACAGTGGTTCCGTCCTCGTTCCAGTTTTGGTATTCTGTCTTGCCCGCAAGGCAAAAAAAAAGTGGGTAAAAAAGAGCTGGACCTTCAAAGTTGTCCGCTGACTTATTTTTAGGAAATTAATATTCATTTCCTATGCTCCTCAGCTCCATCTAGTGATCAAAATGCTGCATTTTCCTTGTATTTCATCGACTTGAAAAGAACATATACTAATAACTTTTTGTTTTTGCTTCTATTCGCACAGAATGAATGTTCACAGAGATTCACAGGACCAGTGTCTCTGTGAATGATTTTATAAATACACCCCTAAGTGTATAGCCATCATTTGCAATTTTAATTGGTATATCATTTTAAAGTAGCCTTTTGAAATGGCGGACGTTTTTTAGAATAAGCTATTCTGGAAGATGGCTTTCAGATGGACATCATTGGAGTGGATCTCACAGCCTCAGCAGTCATTTCAGGAAGGGCAGTTATGTGCGGATATATTCAAGAGATCTGTCAAGTAACTGTTGCAAACTGATATGTTTCTTCTTCAGGAGTTGCAGTCTATAAGAACATGGGTTTGGAAAGATTTTCCAGATATGGTATCGATGCCTCTTACATCACTTGTACTTAGTGTTGTCTAAAAATCTGGGCTACAGGAAATGGTTATTAATAACTGCTGATTCTGTTCTGTCCACTTGGGGTAACTACTCACCAGCAAGCTGCAGTATTCTGTGTTGTGCAAGTCATGTTTGCATTCTTTCTCATATAGTGTATTATATTTATTTAGTGATCTCACAAGTGCTCTGACTTGGTGATTGGCCAACGTTTTTCCTCTTTGCTGGGTTCTGTAAAGATTATTTATCCAGGTCCTGATATACCTAGTAGTACTTTTAACTCAACTTGTTCTATCATTCTAAAGACATTTCACTTCTCATCTCACTGAGTGTCAGGGACATACCCAAGCATCTATAGCCACTGAATCGCCTATGGCAGTTATAAATACTGTGGGGGGAATTTAACAAAACTGGAGCAGTTGCCCATGGCAACCAATCAGCTTCTCTCAAGTTACAGTTACATTAAACCCTCAGATTTGTTAACATAAACCAATACTGTAATGTGCGCCTTACTGTAATCCATGGTAGTTTCCCTTCTCTTTGCTGCTCTTCCTTTTTAAATCTGTATCTGTTCTATGCTGGGCAGAACTTCTGTTTTGCAGCAGACTGCCTTGTCTCTGAAATGGATACATGGTGTCTGTGTGTAGGTTTGCAACCTGAGCCAGCACTAGAGGAAGAGGCAGTCAGCTGCAGAGGGAAGTTCTCCCCAAGCATGAGAAGACATGAGGATTTAAAAGGAAGAGCAGCAAAGAGAAGGGAAACTACCATGGATTACAGTAAGGCACACATTACAGTATTGGTTTATGTTAAAAACATCTGAGGGTTTAATGTCACTTTAAGTAAAACCAGTCAGTAAGTTGATAAAACATTCCATCAAAAGCTGCATCTGTGCTACAGTTAGAATGGTTGCTCTGTTTACTAGACACCCCCTTGTGCCAGAATCTACAGAGCATCTCCCAGGGTAATTTGGAGTTAAGTTTATTACCAGCTGATGTGCTCAACATACAGTATGTCACCATTTTCCATTATATGCTCAAGGCTGGTTTTAACCTGATTTCTGACTTTTTTTCGATCAGGCCTCCTATATGTGAAAGCCAGCCTGCAGTGGGTGTGTTTGGGAATAGCTCTTCTGTTGCATGCGCATGGGTTCCCAGATCACAGGATTACTGAAGAAAGGAAGTGGGGTGGGCTGGTGCACTTTTGTAATACCCAGGGAGGAAAACATGAAAACCTAGTTTAGTAGGCTGCCTCACAGTTGGAGTGGACGGTACCTGTAAAGTGTGTGTGTGTATATATATTAGAGGTGCACCGAAATTAAAATTTCTAAAAATGTTTTACTTTTAGGGGCTTTGGTGAAATATTGGGGATCTAAACAGACCCCTGATATTTGCCTTTTTAAAATAGAAAAAGAGATTGAGGACACAGAGTCCTCAATCTCTTTTTCTGCAGCCCCTGTTATAAATGAACAGGAATCCTCTATACTGAGTGTTCCTGTTCATTCATAACATGAGGACATGGTATGTTTGCTATAACTACAACTATGAATGAACAGGAGGGGATGTAGATCACTGAGTGTTTGTAAATAATTGAGGACATATGTTTACTATATCCTCAATTATGAATGAATGGGAGTGATCTCTGACTGTTTGTACCGCTCTCCATCCTGACACGCGGTCACAGGAGGCTGGGTGGTGCAGGAGGAGAGCACAGCCTCCTGTGACGGCGCTGGCTGTCTTCGCGCCCACACACCGCTCTCCTCTGATCTGTCACAGGAGGCTGAGCAGTGTGGGAGGAGAGACGCCAGCTGCTCAAGGCGCTCTCCTCCCTCAGCGTTCAACCTCCTGTGACAGTTTCTCTCCTTCCCGCTGGGATACAGAGCTGCGCCCAGCGGGGAGGAGAGAATAGGATGCACCGCTATATCAGCAAGAAAATGGCACTTTCGGCATTTTTCCAAAAGTGACATTTTCGGACAATATTTTGGTGCATCCCTAAAATATATAGATTGTACTGTCCACAGCCCACTCTACAATTCCAACACTTTCCAGTCCCTTATCCCGCGGCATATTGCTTGCAGAGTCACCAGTCCGCATGTCAAAATCTTCTGAGCCGGGCCCATGCATGCAGAGTAACTCTCCATTTCAATCTGCTCCAGCAGAGTACAAACTCTCCATAGGGTAGGATGGAGAAAGTACTGCAGATGCGTGAGCCATGCTCGAAGATCATGACATGGCTCGGCAACTTTGTAGGCGATCTGTCGCTGGATGCGACATAATGCTGGTTGTAAAGGGTACAGTTTAATTTTACAATCTTTGCAAAATCTCTTCGGCTGGCCATTGCATTAACACAAACATAGCGTTAAGGGGGTAAGGGGGGCCTCAGTCTGCACTTTTTCTGTGCTGCTGATAATTTAGAAAAACGCAAATGTTTATGTATCTTTTTTTAGCAAACAGTATTGACTTCCAGAATATAGAATACTGCACTTTCATAAATCCATTGGGCAATAAAGACAATTGGTGATTTGATTTATGTAGGATGGCCTAATCTCTCAGCATGTTTCCTTCTTAGATTTCTCCAATCTCAACATTTAAGATTTTTGGTGTAAATGGTGATGGGGAAATTTGGCAGTGGCCTTTGATCACTTTCCATAGATGACGTAACTTTTCAGAGGGCAGTTTAATTGTGTTGCTGGTCTGACTTTTGTATATGTGCAGAATGCTACATACTACAATTATACTGCAAATACTCTTGATGCTTGTTTTGGTACAAGAAAATATCTTGCAGAAAATGCATTTTACATATAAAACAGTTATGTTTATTTAATAATGCAAATAACGCACAGGATCCCATAGCACCAAATGTGTCTGTTTACATGAAACTGCTCAAATCAGGTTGTAATTGATAACGGCACATTATTGCTCTGTGCATTGTGTTATTAAATAAGTTATGTCAAATAAGAAGCAAATGGATCAAATCTTTAAATAACGTTGGGATGGTCTTACATTCTGTTTTGGTTCTCATAGCAGTCAATTAAATTTAAAGTTTACACTGTAAAATATAGGTTGCTATGTAGCAATACAAACTGCTTAAGACCATCCTTACCCTAGATGTTTCTTTTAATTTGCTCTGAAAAGGATGGAGATGGAGATCCAGGGTGGGTAATGTTAAAGAAAAGACCGGTATTGTGGGCGCTGTGCCCAAAAGAAAAAGGCAGACAAATGGCAAAGGGCTAGGCGCCCAGTATTGCTCGTGGTCTTCCTGCCGCCAACCCTGTACCCATAACTGACTGACTTATCCTGGCTTTTTCTCCACTGTGCATCTTAGTAGAGTAGGAGAGATTGCCTACTTCTGGCAAAGCTGCCTCGCTGCTATCTGATAGGAAAATAATTGAGCAGGAGAGGTAGGGGAAGCATAGGGCCACAGACTGAATAAAGCAGAAGCAGAGAGATCCATGCACTGCAGGGACTACGGTACAGTTTACTCTCCAGCAAGGAGATGTGAGCGTCATAGTAGTGACATCCCAAAATCTCACAAGACTAGCAGTCAGAGGCACATCATGGATATACTGTACATCTATGAGGCTGTAGGCACAGGAGTTCTGAGGTTAGGAGAAAGTAAAGACCAAAGGTAACATTTCACGATACTGCTTAGGCACAATTTATATTTCTAGATGCCCCCTTTTATAGAGCCGATCTTCACTTTTTAAATTCAGGTCCACTTGAAAGGAATCTATACAAATTAAATCGACTTTGGAACTTTTGAAGTTGTACTATTAATCAGTAATCTTGCTGAAATAGTAAGCTGATGGTTTACTTAATCTGTTGAAGAGCTGTTGTGTTTTTTGTAGTGTTTTTTTTTATTTTTTTAAAGGGATTGCTTGAAGCCTCCACTGTCCTGTAATAGCAGTTGAACAATGTGAACAAATTACTTTGCTATCCAGTAGGCACCAGAGCTTGACAACACTGCCTAGTGCATTCTGTAATTTAACAGATCTAATTAGGCATGCCCCCTGTCATCTTTAGCACTCAAAGTTCAGGGGTATGATAGATACTTAACTATTCCTCCACAGAGCACTAAAATGGAAGGGCAGGACACACAATTCCACTAAAAAGGTATTTCTCTATCTTCCATCGAGACATCCTATTAATCAGGTTAAATTGCTGTCTACAGGAGGTTGGAACACTGGCAAACCAAAAACATGAAGACCAGCCCCCCTGTATAACTCATTCTCTGCCCAGCATGCTTCAGTTTTTTTGCTTGTGTCCTAGGAGGTTGGGCGCTTTTTTCAGAAGCTCTGAGAAGCTCACAGCATGCAGTGAAATTAGAGAAAGGGCTCATCGTGAACACATTTCGAAACACGATACGAGCACATGCCCCAATTTCGGCCGAGCAAATGCGGGAAGCATGTTGGCAAATTTGCAACATATACTACTTTTCCATATTTGGCGCACGTCTAGTGACCCAATGGGGATGAGAACCAAATGCGGAAAACAGTCCCGCAACGCCCTGGTGTAAACAATTTCTTTCCAGGAGAGGAGCCTGTGCAGCTGTCCAAAACTGGAGGGAAGGCCGGAGTTCAGCTTTTAATGACTGAATAAAAAAAAAACTCTCTACCTCATGTTTGTGACTACAATGGATAGCCACACTGACCAATAGTGCTTTTGGGGTTGAGTCTTGGCTAGACCTCAGGAGCTGGGGTGAAAATTTGTAGAACCGTACCTTGGGCTTTTTGCAGCTCTTGAAACACCCTGCAATGTATCTGAAAGTAGTCCATTCAGGTCTGCAGTTACGTTATTAGGTTTAAAGTGAAAACGGGTTGACTTTAACGTTATTTAAAACCTTTATTTGCTTTTGTAACATTATTTTCCTGCTTTGGTTGGTTTAGTTGACTGTAGTAGTGTGTACGTGGTTAATCTCCTCCAAATCATAACATTTGATTCTGCTGGCTTTCTAATAGTAACCTGTTTACCTCCCGTTAGGTATCTCTCGCCCCAGGGCTGACAGTGCTCCACCGACTCCTGTGAACCGGCTAAGCATGCCACAGAACACGTCAACCAATACCACGCCTCCACACAGCCGGCGACATCGAGCTGTCACTGTTAACAAAACCACCATTAAAGCCAGTGTAAGTTGACTTGCTTGGGAGGTCCCTAATCTGGTGTGTTCTAGAACAATATGAAGTCTTGCATCTTTTTTATTTTAAAGAAAAAAATGATGCCCTTGAAATTGCTATTTTGGTTTATAGTGGGTGCAAATTGAGTTACCCTACAGGCTTAAGGTAGGCGTCTTTTTACCCAAGGTAACCATAATAAGTTGATCCAGTGCCTACAGCAATGAAATATTTATGATCTTTGATTTACCATTTGATTTTGGAATGGATGGAGTTCCCCAGAAGATAACCACATTTACTGTAAGAAATTCATTTAATCAAGAATTTTTCCAACATGGTCCATTTGAATTTGTTAGTCACTGTGGTCGAAATCAATCATTGATTCGACCCCATCAAATATTAGAAAGTTGAATAAATGTTCCAAAATCAATTTTGTTCAGAATTCGTTCGGCGTATACTCTACTTTTAGGGAGCATGCACAATGCTCCTGGGGATGCTGTATTTGCTATAGCTTAATATACAGTTATCTATGGCTCCAGGGTCTTCATCAGTCAGTAAAGGGAATAATTGGGTGGCAGAACCATTAATGATCCCAACACAATTCTTAAAGCACAGCAAGGCCAAAGAGGGTATGTTTGCAAACTTGCTTGATTTGCTTAGATTATATTTAAGAATATCCATGGCATCTTAGTATCCTCCACTGATTTATAGGGCTGTAAGGCTGGGTTCACACCTAGGCGTATCGAATATGCGTTTTTGTCGCGCGTTCCGTGCCGCACGGCTTTACGTTCGACAAGCGTTTCTACCGTGATTTGCGGTAAAAAAAACTGCGCAACAAACGCGCGTTTCCGAGGGCTACCTGGCTGTATCCCAATGGATACGCACGGCAAATACGCCCCAAAGAAGCTCCTGTACTTCTTTGGGCATAGGGTGTTTTGCGGCGTGTTCCTACGCCCTTGTAAAACGCTCAGGTGGGAACCATGCTCATAGGCAATCATTGGTTTTCACATGTTGAGCGTTTTACAGAGCGTAGGAACGTGCTGTAAAACGCCCAGGTGTGAACCAGGCCTAAGGGATGTGTCTGTACGTGTGTTCAGATTATTTCACAAGCACCTCTTAGAGCCGTATTATGCAAATACCAACCAGGGGTGGCATAGTCATTCTCTGACCAGCCTCCTTTCATTGTCAATGCTTCTCTGTTGAACAC